AAGTGCTAGCGGTTACATGATAAAGACAGTATAGAAATGCTAGTTATCCCTTGATAAAGACAGTATAGAAGTGCTAGTGGTCCCTTGATGAAGGCAGTATAGAAGTGCTAGCGGTTCAATGAAAAAGACAGTATAGAAGTGCTAGTGGTCCCTTGATAAAGACAGTATAGAAGTGCTAGTGGTCCCTTGATGAAGGCAGTATAGAAGTGCTAGCGGTTCCATGAAAAAGACAGTATAGAAGTGCTAGTGGTCCCTTGATGAAGGCAGTAAAGAAGTGCTAGCGGATCCATGAAAAAGACAGTAAAGAAGTGCTAGCGGTTCCATGAAAATGACAGTATAGAAGTGCTAGTGGTCCCTTGATGAAAACAATATAGAAGTGCTAGTGGTCCCTTGTTGAAGACAGTATAGAAGTGCTAGTGGTTCCATGAAAAAGACAGTATAGAAGTGCTAGTGGTCCCTTGATGAAGGCAGTAAAGAAGTGCTAGCGGTTCCATGAAAAAGACAGTAAAAAAGTGCTAGTGGTCCCATGAAAAAGACAGTATAGAAGTGCTAGTGGTCCCTTGATGAAAACAATATAGAAGTGCTAGCGGTTACATGATAAAGACAGTATAGAAATGCTAGTTGTCCCTTGATAAAGACAGTATAGAAGTGCTAGTGGTCCCTTGATGAAGGCAGTATAGAAGTGCTAGCGGTTCAATGAAAAAGACAGTAAAAAAGTGCTAGTGGTCCCATGAAAAAGACAGTATAGAAGTGCAAGTGGTCCCTTGATGAAAACAATATAGAAGTGCTAGCGGTTACATGATAAAGACAGTATAGAAATGCTAGTTGTCCCTTGATAAAGACAGTATAGAAGTGCTAGTGGTCCATTGATGAAAACAGTATAGAAGTGCTAGTGGTTACATGATAACGACAGAATGGGGACGTGCTAGTGGTTCCATGAAAAAAACAGTATAGACGTGCTAGTGGTCCTTTATAAAGACAGTATAGAAGTGCTAGAGGTTACATGATAAAGACAGTATAGAAGTGCTAGTGGTTACATGGATATAGACAGTTTAGAAGTGCTAGTGGTCCCTTGATAAAGACAGTATAGAAGTGCTAGTGGTCCCTTGATAAAGACAGTATGAAAGTACAACCGGTTACATGGATATAGACAGTATGGAAGTGCTAGTGGTTACATGGATATAGACAGTATGGAAGTGCTAGCGGTTACATGGATATAGACAGTATAGAAGTGCTAGTGGTCCCTTGATAAAGACAGTATAGAAGTGCTAGCGGCTCAATGAAAATGACAGTATAGAAGTGCTAGTGGTTCCTTGGTAAAGACAGTATAGACCTGCTAGCGGTTACATGGATATAGACAGTATGGAAGTGCTAGCGTTTACATGGATATAGACAGTATAGAAGTGCTAGTGGTCCCTTGATAAAGACAGTATAGAAGTGCTAGTGGTCCCTTGATAAAGACAGTATGAAAGTACAACCGGTTACATGGATATAGACAGTATGGAAGTGCTAGTGGTTACATGGATATAGACAGTATGGAAGTGCTAGCGGTAACATGGATATAGACAGTATAGAAGTGCTAGTGGTCCCTTGATAAAGACAGTATAGAAGTGCTAGCGGCTCAATGAAAATGACAGTATAGAAGTGCTAGTGGTTCCTTGGTAAAGACAGTATAGACCTGCTAGCGGTTACCTTGATAAAGACAGTATTGAAGTGCTAGCGTTTACATGGATATAGACAGTATAGAAGTGCTAGTGGTCCCTTGATAAAGACAGTATAGAAGTGCTAGCGGTTCCATGAAAATGACAGTATAGAAGTGCTAGTGGTTCCTTGGTAAAGACAGTATAGACCTGCTAGCGGTTACATGGATAAAGACAGTATGGAAGTGCTAGCGTTTACATGGATATAGACAGTATAGAAGTGCTAGTGGTCCCTTGATAAAGACAGTATAGAAGTGCTAGCGGTTCCATGAAAATGACAGTATAGAAGTGCTAGTGGTTCCTTGGTAAAGACAGTATAGAAGTGCTAGCGGTTACATGGATATAGACAGTATGGAAGTGCTAGCGTTTACATGGATATAGACAGTATAGAAGTGCTAGTGGTCCCTTGATAAAGACAGTATAGAAGTGCTAGCGGTTCCATGAAAATGACAGTATAGAAGTGCTAGTGGTTCCTTGGTAAAGACAGTATAGAAGTGCTAGCGGTTACATGGATATAGACAGTATGGAAGTGCTAGCGTTTACATGGATATAGACAGTATAGAAGTGCTAGTGGTCCCTTGATAAAGACAGTATAGAAGTGCTAGCGGTTCCATGAAAAAGACAGTATAGAAGTACTAGTGGTCACTTGATGAAGACAGTATAGAAGTGCTAGCGATAACATGAATATAGACAGTATAGACCTGCCAGCGGTTCCTTGATAAAGACAGTATAGAAGTGCTAGTGGTTACATGGATATAGACAGTATGGAAGTGCTAGCGTTTACATGGATATAGACAGTATAGAAGTACTAGTGGTCACTTGATGAAGACAGTATAGAAGTGCTAGCGATAACATGAATATAGACAGTATAGACCTGCCAGCGGTTCCTTGATAAAGACAGTATAGAAGTGCTAGTGGTTACATGATAAAGACAGTATGGAAGTGCTAGTGGTTCCATGATAAAGACAGTATAGAAGTGCTAGTGATCCCTTGATGAAGGCAGTATAGAAGTGTTAGCGATTACATGAATATAGACAGTATAGAAGTGCTAGTGGTTACATGATAAAGACAGTATAGAAGTGCTAGTGGTTCTATGATAAAGACAATTTAGAAGTACTACCGGTTACATGGATATAGACAGTATAGAAGTGCTAGTGGTTGCATGAATATAGATAGTATAGAAGTGCTAGCGGTTCCATAATAAAGACAGTGTAGAAATGCTAGTGGTTCCTTGATAAAGGCAGTATAGAAGTGCTAGTGGTTACATGATAAAGACAGTATAGAAGTGCTAGTGGTTCCATGATAAAGACAATTTAGAAGTACTACCGGTTACATGGATATAGACAGTATAGAAGTGCTAGTGGTTGCATGAATATAGATAGTATATACCTGCTAGCGGTTCCATGATAAAGACAGTGTAGAAATGCTAGTGGTTCCTTGATAAAGACAGTATAGAAGTGCTAGTGGTTACATGATAAAGACAGTATAGAAGTGCTAGTGGTTCCATGATAAAGACAATTTAGAAGTACTACCGGTTACATGGATATAGACAGTATAGAAGTGCTAGTGGTTGCATGAATATAGATAGTATATACCTGCTAGCGGTTCCATGATAAAGACAGTATAGAAATGCTAGTGGTTCCTTGATAAAGACAGTATAGAAGTGCTAGCGGTTACATGGATATAGACAGTATGGAAGTGTAAGTGGTTACATTAACAAAGACAGTATAGAAGTACTAGCGGTTACATGGATACAGACAGTATGTTATCGGTTCAGTTCGTTTACTATATTTCAGGTTTGTGCTTCTTATGACGTACTACTTTATTGTAAGAAACCAAAATGGCGCTACCTGTTCAACAGAATTAAACGACCCACAATGAGTATATCTGTACAAATGCAGCAGTCAGCCAAGACCTTGCACATTCCAGTGACAGCTCGATGTGTTCAAGTGCACCTACTGAATGTGAACACGGTCACTACTGGTGAACATCAGCGTTTCAGACTCACTCAAATGTACACAGAATGCTGTGCGAATATTTTTCAAAGAACAATTCATTGGATGTTACACTGAAAACCATCCCATTTTCGTCTGTTCTATACAGCATAGTTCTAAAGGTCTGCTGCTGCCAACCTCGTCGTGTTCCATGCAGCATGGCCGGTGATCATGCTGCATACGACATTGCATCTGGGACCAGTTCATCATTTCTCTACAGTGTATATATAAGTGTAAAATGCACATTGGCGCGTAGAGACACTGGAGATATGTTCTACACAAAAACGAACTTAGCAACTATAAGGTTTGAAGCTTTGTACAAAATCTCCATGTAGAGCTTCAAGTTTCAGCTTTATTGGGCAAGTAACTCCTCAGGAACGGGTGTTATAACGAAGTTCATTTTGGTAGAATTTAGGAGCATGGTCAAGTACTTGTCCGAATTTAAAATATCGCCAAAAACAACTCGGAAACATATGTTAAGCCTATTACTAACTACACATAGCCCAAAATTAATTACATTTTGAACATTAATGGCTGAGTAATGGCCATAAATAGACTTTTTTGTAACGCGGCTTTTATACTTAAAATCAATAAGAATGATATTTTTCACATGTCGATGTTATTGGACACACTTTCAGTGAGATATCGTACGATGTGTATCTTGAATGTTCAGTTCATGAATTAATTCACAAATACGTCGGAAACCATGCCCACAAATATGATTTGATTGACACACTGAGTAAATCTATTGGTCGTTCCAAATATTCTCAAATGGCTTCATTTCGCTAGACATTTTCACATTAAATTAAACTGAAAGTCGCAATTGGTTGGATGCACCACGCTCATCGGTTTCGACCCAGAGATCGCGGTGGTACATGGCAAATGGATGTACCTCGATTATATAATATCTGTAATAGATGTGTATAAAGCTGAAGCCGATATGACATGCACATTATAACGTCCCAGCATGACCTTTCATGGGTGACCTTAGTAAGGTCACGGTTATTCAATTCGCGTATGTTTGTATTTTGCCATCCCACGCGTCGAGAGGGAACTTAGTGCATTGCCGGGAAAAAGTAACTTTTGTTGGTGGTGAGGAGTACAAATGTCTGCCTCGCTCAGAGGTGCGTGGTTACACCATTCACTACCCCTCACTGGCACGGCTTACAGTCCATCTATTCACGTAGTAAATATTTATCTCTACTGCCATCAGAGAGCCACGATTCGTATAATTAAGCCAATGCTAGTCGCGTTTGGTTATGTCTACCGGCATTCCGAAAATAAATAATCGCTTATCAAACTTAACTGGTGGATTTCTTCAGATTAATCATCTTGGACGATATGCGTTTCTCAAACACTGTTATGTTCCTAACGTCTGGAATGCTTGTAAGGGGCTCGTCAGTAAAATGTCACTGTGCTTGCTGCCCACAGTTTCGTGGCGCAGTTAGAAAGGTATTTCTGAAAATAGATTAATGTCGTGTAAAGGATCGCGCTTAGTGTCCGACCATACATCAACTATATTACATATCATTTAGTATACGTTAAGTTTGTGAACATAGCAAACGATATTATTCAATTCAACCCCTATCATCCCATACTATATCATGTAAATCTAAGTCGATAGTCTTGGTGTCATCGTTTCCTGATTAGTTGTAATAGATCCAAGCCAAGGCTACTCCCAGTGCTATTATTGCGCAGTTTTAGGCCAGGGGGCGACACTCGTATTGATTTGGTGACGCATTGAGTGAGTGAGTATGGTTTTACGCCGCGTTTAGCAATATTCCAGCAATATCACGGCGGGGGACACCAGAAATGGGCTTCACACATTGTACCCATGTCGGGAATCGAACCCGGGTCTTCGGCGTGACGATCGAACGTTTTAACCACTAGGCTACCCGACCGCCCCTGGTGACGCATTGAATTCATGATTTACGGTATGTAATATGGAAAGCATAAACATTGAATTCAGTTTTAAGCGTGTTGTAGAAATTTAAAATACGATCTTGGAGTACTTCCTGATATAAAAACCTCCATTCATTCATTCATATGAGGGGGTACAAGCAAGTACTGCTATTGGTGCAACACTCACGGTTATGTAGGTAAATACCTGTATCTGTGCAACACTTAATGTTGTATAGTTATATGCCTGTATCTGTGCAACATTCACGGTTATGTAGGTATATACCTGTATCTGTGCAACACTCATGGTTATGTAGGTATAAACCTGTATCTGTGCAGCATTCACGGTTATGTAGGTATATACCTGTTTCTCTGCAACATTCACGGTTATGTAGGTATATACCTGTATCCGTGCAACACTCATGCTAATGTAGGTATATACCTGTATCTGTGCAACACTCACGGTAATGTAGGTATATACCTGTATCTGTGCAACATTCACGGTTATGTAGGTATATACCTGTTTCTGTGCAACACCCACGGTTATGTAGGTATATACCTGTATCTGTGCAACACTCACGGTTATGTAGGTAAATACCTGTATCTGTGCAACACTCACGGTTATGTAAGTAAATACCTGTATCTGTGCAACACTCACGGTTATACCTACATACAGGTATATACTACATAACCGTGAGTGTTGCACGGATACAGGTATATACCTACAAAACCGTGAGTGTTGCACGGATACAGGTATATACACACATAACCGTGAGTGTTGTACAGATACAGGTATATAACTACTTAACCGTGAATGTTGCAAAGATACAGGTATATACCTACATAACCGTGAGTGTTGCACGGATACAGGTATATATCTACATAACCGTGAATGTTGCACAGATACAGGTATCTTCTTACATAACCGTGAGTTTTGCACAGATACATGTATATACCTACATAACCGTGAGTGTTGCACAGATACATGTATACACCTGTATCTGTGCAACACTCACGGTTATGGAGGTATATACATGTATCTGTGCAACATTCACGGTTATGTAGGTATATACCTGTATCTGTGCAACACTCAATGTTATGTACACCTGTATCTGTGGAACACTCACGGTTATGTAGCTATATACCTGTATCTGTGCAACATTCACGGTTATGTAGGTATATACCTGTATCTGTGCAACACTCACGGTTATGTAGGTATATACATGTATCTGTGCAACACATAATGTTGTATAGGTATATACATGTATCCGTGCAACACTCACGGTTATGTAGGTATGTACATGTATCTGTGCAACATTCACGGTTATGTAGGTATATACATGCATCTGTGCAACATTCACGGTTATGTAGTTATATACCTGTATCTGTGCAACATTCACGGTTATGTAGGTATATGCCTGTATCTGTGCAACATTCACGGTTATGTAGGTATATGCCTGTATCTGTGCAACACTCAATGTTACGTTCACCTGTTTCTGTGCAACACCCACGGTTATGTAGGTATATCCCTGTATCTGTGCAACACTTAATGTTATGTATGTTTATACCTGTATCTGTGCAACACTTAATGTTGTATACGTTTTATACTAGTAATTGTGCAACACTCACGGTTATGTAGGTATATACCTGTATCCTAGCAACACTCATGGTTATGTAGGTATATACCTGTATCTGTGCAGCACTCACGGTTATGTAGGTGTATACCTGTATTTAATTAATCTATTTCAGGCACTGATTTCAATGCCACTTTGGTTTAGTATCAATACGTGATTGGTTTGAGTAATTCAGGAACAGGTTTCACTGCCAAGGAGGCTATAGTGTCACACCTGATTCGTTTAAGTAATCAGGCACGTGTGCTAATGCCTAGGGGGCTATATTGTCAGTACATGAAAACACGGCCAGTGAGTGGAGAGACTTTTGTCAGTGAGTATAGAGAGAACGGTGAGAGAGATTAAACAGAACGGCCAGTGAGTACAGAGAGAACGGCCAGTGAGTATAGAGAGAACGGCGAGAGAGATTAAAAAGAACGGCCAGTGAGTAAAGAAAGCACGGCCAATGAATATGTAGAGAACGGCGAGAGAGAATAGAGAGAACGGCGATTGAGAATGGAGAGAACGGCCAGTGAATACAGAAACGCCACCAGTGAGTATAGAGCAAACGGCGAGAGAGTATAGAGAGAGCGGCCCGTGTGTAAAGAGAGAACGACCGGTGTGTATAGAGAGAACGGCCAGTGTGTACAGAGAGAACGGCCAGTGTGTACAGAGAGAACGGCCAGTAAGTGTAGAGAGAACGGCCAGGAAGTATATAGAGAACGGCCAGTGTGTACAGAGAGAACGGCCAGTGTGTATAGAGAGAGCGGCCAGTGTGTATAGAGAGAAAAGCCAGTGTGTATAGAGAGAGCGGCCAGTGTGTACAGAGAGAACGGCCAGTGTGTATAGAGAGAAAGGCCAGTAAGTACAGAGAGAACGGCCAGTGTGTACAGAGAGAACGGCCAGTAAGTGTAGAGAGAACGGCCAGGAAGTATATAGAGAACGGCCAGTGTGTACAGAGAGAACGGCCAGTGTGTATAGAGAGAAGGGCCAGTGTGTACAGAGAGAACGACCAGTGTGTACAGAGAGAACGGCCAGTGTGTATAGAGAACGGCCAGTGAGTACAGAAAAAACACCAGTGTGTATAGAGAGAACGGCCAGAAAGCAAAGAGAGAACGGCCAGTGTGTATAGAGAGAACGACCAGTGTGTATAGAGAGAGCGGCCAGTATATACAGAAAACACCGCCAGTGAGCATAGAGAGAAAGGCCAGAAAGCAAAGAGAGAACGGCCAGTGAGTACAGAAACACCACAAGTGAGTATAGAGAGAACGGCCAGTAAGTGTAGAGAGAACGGCCAGGAAGTATATAGAGAACGGCCAGTGTGTACAGAGAGAACGGCCAGTGTGTACAGAGAGAACGGCCAGTGTGTATAGAGAGAACGGCCAGTGTGTATAGAGAGGAAGACCAGTGTGTATAGAGAGAACGGCCAGTGTGTATAGAGAGAACGACCAGTGTGTATAGAGAGAGCGGCCAGTATATACAGAAAACACCGCCAGTGAGCATAGAGAGAAAGGCCAGAAAGCAAAGAGAGAACGGCCAGTGAGTACAGAAACACCACAAGTGAGTATAGAGAGAACGGCCAGTAAGTGTAGAGAGAACGGCCAGGAAGTATATAGAGAACGGCCAGTGTGTACAGAGAGAACGGCCAGTGTGTACAGAGAGAACGGCCAGTGTGTATAGAGAGAACGGCCAGTGTGTATAGAGAGGAAGACCAGTGTGTATAGAGAGAACGGCCAGTGTGTATAGAGAGAACGGCCAGTGTGTATAGAGAGAGCGGCCAGTGTGTAAAGAAAAACCACCAGTAAGTGTAGAGAGAACGGCCAGAAAGCAAAGAGAGAACGGCCAGTGCGTATAGAGAGAAAGACCAGTGTGTATAGAGAGAAAGGCCAGTGTGTATAGAGAGAACGGCCAGTGAGTACAGAAAAACCACCAGTAAGTGTAGATAGAACGGCCAGAAAGCAAAGAGAGAACGGCCAGTGTGTATAGAGAGAACGACCAGTGTGTATAGAGAGAGCGGCCAGTATAAACAGAAAACACCGCTAGTGAGCATAGAGAGAAAGGCCAGAAAGCAAAGAGAGAACGGCCAGTGAGTACAGAAACACCACCAGTGAGTATAGAGAGAACGGCCAGTGTGTACAGAGAGAACGGCCAGTGTGTATAGAGAGAACGACCAGTGTGTATAGAGAGAGCGGCCAGTATATACAGAAAACACCGCTAGTGAGCATAGAGAGAAAGGCCAGAAAGTAAAGAGAGAACGGCCAGTGAGTACAGAAACACCACAAGTGAGTATAGAGAGAACGGCCAGTAAGTGTAGAGAGAACGGCCAGGAAGCGTATAGAGAGAACGGCCAGTGAGTACAGAGAGAACGGCCAGTAAGTGTAGAGAGAACGGCCAGGAAGTATATAGAGAACGGCCAGTGTGTACAGAGAGAACGGCCAGTGTGTATAGAGAGAACGGCCAGTGTGTATAGAGAGAACGGCCAGTGTGTATAGAGAGAACGGCCAGTGAGTACAGAAAAACCACCAGTGAGTATAGAGAGAACGGCCAGAAAGCAAAGAGAGAACGGCCAGTGTGTATAGAGAGAACGACCAGTGTGTATAGAGAGAACGGCCAGTATATACAGAAAACACCGCTAGTGAGCATAGAGAGAAAGGCCAGAAAGCAAAGAGAGAACGGCCAGTGAGTACAGAAACACTACCAGTGAGTATAGAGAGAACGGCCAGTAAGTGTAGAGAGAACGGCCAGGAAGTATATAGAGAACGGCCAGTGTGTATAGAGAGAACGGCCAGTGTGTACAGAGAGAACGGCGAGAGTTTAGAGAAAACTGCAGCTATAAAACCAGATGAGTATGTATTTAAAACAACGAGCATGAGTGTTTAAAAATATAAATACCCTGCAACAAAGAATTTTATGTGCCTTGCCCCCCTCTCAGAATATCAAATGGTCCGT